ATAGCTTAGATCTATCGCTTTTACCTTATTATTGTTATTATTCACTCTCAACATCTTCACAGGCTTTTTCCTTGTGAAACACAGATATTAAAAGGTTTCATATAATATTATAAAGCTTTCCACAAGGCCACTGTAAGGGAAGAAGTGATGCCAACAATTGTGCAATCATGGGTTGCAAAATGTGAATGCCTCAATTGGTCTACTGGACCAGAAAGATAAGCCCATTTTTAGTAATGTCACTTCTAATACATTATGGCAGTAAAGAACAACAGAACCGCTTATTTCCCACAGATATTTTCAAAGCCTTAGAGACTGCGATTTGAACCATTCTTTAATTATCTCTGGCATAGCCTTCAGAAAGCTCTGTGCAGCCAAAAGTGAGAATATTAACTGAATTTTGCTATAGTCCAATAGCAGTAATTATGATGGTCATAAAATGTAAGAGTCAACTTTATGCAGTATGTAATGTTGATATAAACATGAAATAATACTGGAGATTATTTGGAGAGTCACGGCTTTTGCTATCCTACAGATCCTGGTCAGGAAAACGATGAATGATCTCAGTTCCCATTGAAATACACAGGTGTTGTAGCCACCCTGTGCCCTGTGGAACTCAGATTTCAGCTCTGACTTCTCTTGGTGTGACACAGCTAAGCCACCACACAAACATTGGGTTGGAGTCTCCCTGTTAAGACGAGTTTTCACCTCCAATGAAAATCCAGAGGACATGTCGGGGGGCTGCTATTCCACATGCCAGACGTACAGATTACTTTCTTGTCTCATCTTTGGCAGAACACATGGGCTTGCAGTTTTTCCTTTAAGAGCAAAAAAATTTTCTGTTGAGTCAAAGACAGTTCTCAAAGCCTGTTGCTCAGGCCTTGATTGGGCAGAGCGTTGGTATACATACTCAAAGTCAATAGTCATGTCTTCACCTCAACAATACAATGAATTTTACCTAAATACTCTTCCAAATAGGGATGCTTTCCTGAATTAAGGCCTCAGTCTGCCTAAGTCATTAAGCATAATAAATACAGTCTAGGACTTTATAAATTTTTTCAGCATTTAAAATGTACCAATTAGTTCTAACAGGAGACAAATGAAAGGAGAGAAACAAGTACTTTTCCTAGACAGCAGAATAAATTAATGCCAAAGGAAAACTATTATGTATGCGGAACAATTAAACTGTAATAAAAAGTAAAAATGCAAGACACATAGGGAAACAAATAAGCATCCTTACTTGGAGTGATCTTTAGCTTTTCCAGAACAGATCTGGCAAAGCATTGCTACAAAATCTAAACCTGACCCAACACCAACTGGCCTAGCAACAAGCTGGAAAAATACCAGTATCCTGGTGATTCCCCATTGACCACATGTTTCTCCAGAGAAACTGGAGTGGGATACTGCTTGATACACTCTGTAATAAAATAATCTTCTCAAGTTATTCTTCTCTTTAATGCATTTCTTATATACATTTTTCTCTCATCCTGGTTTTCATTCATTCCCCTCCCTATAATAACAGATCGCACTTCATCTTTACCTGGATAATCTTCAGTGTCTCTCTTGCCTCCTCTTTACTTGCTTTTACTAGGCTGCACTACCTACCTCCTTTTCACTCTTCTCACACTGCATCTGTTCTGCTCTTTCCAGACTTGCTCTGCTGACCTCTGAGTTGGCAACACAGGCAGCCCACACCTGGCCGAGCACTGCCTCTAGTCAGTGGTCCCTGGTCATGCTTTGCATCAGCTTCTGGTGGGTTAGGAGGCTTCACTGAATACCTAATAGGCCAGAAAACAAAGCTTTATCTAATGACTGGCATGGAGGATGGAGGTACACTGTGAGCGATGAGTAAGACTTGAGCAGCAAGCCAAGTCTGTATCATTCCTAATGCACAATGACTTTTTGGTCTTGAAGCTTTTTTTCAGGATTCTCAACTTTCATATCAAATTCTTTGCTCCTCCATATTGGAATCATTAGGCTAGAAGTATTTATATATGCTGTGATTCTATCATGTGTGAAGGGCTATAAAGAATGAACATCATCTGCCAAAGATGCTACCTCAACTATCAACAGCTTCCAACATATGGCATGGAAAACAAGGATACACACAAGCGCAGCTACGTGCTTGGAAAGTCCATAATAATGTCAGACCAATGCTTGTGATATCTAATGACAGGACAGCCAAACCAGCGAAAAAACTAGTGTCATCTACATGGAGTTTTACTCAGGAAAGCAGGGTACCTACCTACAACTGTATCTCCCTCCTTGCATGTATTTTTGTGGAGGAGAACACACGTTCCTTAAAGCAGACTGGTTATGGTGTGATGTTAATAACTATTAGTTTTTAACAGTAGATATTCCCTAAGGTGATAAATATAGAACCTGGTAGCTTTAACTTTCAGTCCTGACACAGGCAAAACTCTTACCAGTAACTGTGTGACTGTGTAGTTAAGCATGAACCAGGGTTTTGGGATTAGGCAGCAAACACAGTAAACTATTTGAAGCGTATGAAGGAAGTACAGTGTTTCTCCTATAACATGTAAAAGAAAGTGAGTAACTATGCTGCATTATCAGGGCTTCTTTAACCAACAGTCTTCCAACTGCCTGTCCTGGCCTCCCTTGGCTACGTCGCAAGTTTTAACTTTGCACACATGAAAATAAATAGCAAACCAAGGGTCCATTTTTCTTAGCAAAAAGCTAAAGGACTGAACACAGCTTGTGTTCTGGTTGTTCCTCTTTTACATTCTGTTGGTGAGGGAGCTGTATGTCAAACAAATTTTAAAAACCATGGCTGGAGTAGCTTGCTGCATAAGAGCTTGTGCTCAGTGTTTCAGTCAGAAGCCAAGATTTATGAACAATCTTTAAAGACTCTTATTAGGTCAATCTGGTTCTTCTGCATAAAAGGACAGGCTCTTTAGGTGAGGGCATTTCTAAATCGGATAAATACATTTCTGAAGAATATGTCTGTGCTCTTTATGACTAAAATTTCAGTTATTTTGATGACTATTTTCTATCTTACCTTTAAGCAGAGAAAGAACATCTTTAAAAGTACCCTTAAAGAAAATTTATGTTTAGTAATATTCAGCTCATTTTTTCTGTTAGTTTTACATAACATTTGTCCTGTCTCTTTGCTTTTTCTGTTCTATAAAATTTAAAATAAATCAGACATAATGTGCTGTCTGTTTCATTACAGTGTATAACCGAAATATTCAGAATTGCAAATTAGATATTTGCACTGGGTATTTACATTCATCCTTTGCTATTCCCCACAATTTGCCTTCATTTTAATAAAGCTGGATGCTGCAATTATTTTCCCTGAGATATTGTTTCAGGCTCCCTGCTTATTTGGGAAGAGGAAGAGCTGAAAACTATTTTGGTAGTCAGATTTATTTGATGCAATCATGTAATACCACTTGTCCATCCCAATTTGTCTTAACTGCTGTCAGGCTTACAATCTGACAAACCATAGGTTTGCTTTGCTTTTGCTGGCAAGGTAACCCTTTCCATCCGCAGTATTGGGCTGTTCCATTGTGCAGACAGAAACTGAACAGTGTATTTCCATGCAAAAATTACTGTGATGCAGTTGTTATACTGGCTTTCACCAGGGATGGTGTTTCAGGTAGAGTTGGAGGGGTTCAGCTAGATTAATCCCCTCAGAAAAGATCTTTTGTTTTGGTCAATGTAATTACAACCTTTAACAATGAACAATAATAGGATCCAAGCTCAGTACTCAAATAAGGCTTACAGTGATCCAACATTATGCAACTGAACTAAATTCAGCCTTCAAAGCATACATATCACCCACTCAAACAAAAACTCACAAAACCCATGGGAGCTAGTCATACATTCAAGGATAGAAACTGACCATTTGGTGTGCAACCCACTCAACTGATGAGAGTGTAAAATAAACAACCTGCAAACACACCTGGGATTTTAAACCTTGTTATAGTTAGGTTCCCTGACAAACATGAAGGTGAACAAAAGGGAGGGCTTAAATAAAAACTAAATAAGTTTTGTATGAACAACAATCAATATTGATTACCATAGCTCTGCTGCTCTGCTTCGTGGATTGCAGTATACTCTCCTACTAAGTGAACACAGTAGACACAGTTCTGGCAATACACAGTTAACGTTTTGTTAGGAGAACAACTATTGATGCTTTCTGATGTGCAGAGGATAGCAGGCAATCCACTCCTGATGATTTTTTCTGTATCAGTCACAACCTTTCTGTGATGGTGCAGACGCATTCAGAATTTTCATGCCTACCTAACCTGACTGGGGAGGCAGATGCTCATTTGGGCACAGGGCAGCACTATATGTGTGAGGGTTTCTACTACATTGCAGGAGAGGAGTACTGTGTTAACAAAGATGACCAATAAGAAAAAAAATCTTCAAAGACAAAAGGTAACTGTCCCTTGGTCATTAAGCAGAATTTCCATGGAAATGATCTCCTAAGGGATGAGCACAAAGATAGCTATTGGGTTTGATGCAACCCAGCAAATACGCTGTATCATGAAGTACATATACTGCATAAAAAGGCGATAGACTTGGAAAGGCATTTTACTTTTGCGAGTACCTTGCAGAACTCATTACTTGAAGAAATAAGACTGTAATAAAATTGGGTAACTTTAAAGTATTTTGAAGACATCTAGTAAACACAAACTGTGGCATCACCATCTGTATTATGGTGAGTTGAATTATGGGCATACCCTGGTTATTAGACTACATTCATCACTCAAGATTTAGAATATCCTCCTCAGTTCCACTCTATTCACAGTCTCGATATGACTAGGCTGCTATCCTGCTGTGCTTGAAGCAAGTTAGTTCCATTTGGCAAAATCAGATGATGAAAAGAACCCCCAGGTACCTCTGCTCCCACTGTTGCTGTCTCTTATTTGGGAAGCTAAACTGTCCCCCTCCTCTCAGCTCAGCTTGGGTCAGCACCATCTCCCCTTCCTACTTGGACTGGTACCTCAAAGCAACTGGTCTCTATGGCTGCTTACCTGCTTCCTCCAGACAGGGACCACCTTGCCCTCAGCTCCAGACTTGGTCAATATGGGTCTGCCAGAACTGCATTCAGAAGTTTCACCAGGAGTTTCACCTGCAGTCGGGAATCTTGCCAGGGAAGGGCTTGGCCCACTCTTTACACTGACTAGAGGATGTGTCTTCATTGTCAGTTTACGCTTTGTAGTGGGTTTCTGATCCAAAGAATATAAAAGACTCTGCATGTTCCTTTAACTGCAGAAGTAATTTCTTAGTTGCTAGGAACCACTTAAGACACTTCTCCTGGAAGTTCAGCAGCTCGCTGCCACAAACTCTGTAAATCCTAACTCACTGTTAGTTTGACACACAGGATTTAATGGACTCAACACAAAGACAAATACTGAATGGGGTGTTTCCTTCATTGTGGTAAGCTCTACCCCATGTACATCTCTGTGGTTAACAGTTGTTTGGATATCTTTTCTATACCATGACCTACTTTTTATGCTGAGATAAATACACATAGAGCAAGAACTGCAATATAAATGTCACTTTTAACAAATAATAAGTATCAATTACTGTAAACTCTTTCTCCAACCTCAAGTAATTCCTAGAAGGTATCTGAAAATACGTGGTTTAGTGGACTACCTTCAAACAAAAGCTTTGTGACTGGATTTCTTTTGGCAAAGAGAAAGAGGACAGAGAACTGATGCTACTGAAACAACATGCAAGATTTCTTTATAGGATATAATAAAAAAAAACACCACCACCATCACCAAAAAATCCAGTAGCTTTCTCAAAAAATATTCTTGCCTCCTCGGTGAGAATTTCACCATCTGCTTCCAGACCTTTTTATTCACAGGAAGTTTACTTTCCAATGAGAGTGTATCATTGACATTTTTGCAAATTGCTCCTGATTTGACAGTTGACAAATATTGTCAGGTCTGCAAGCACTGTCATACTCACAAACAACCTCCTTTACTTCATCACCAGCAAAGTGCACTCCTGCCACATTACAAGTTGAAGAAGGTGGAAACTGAATGGCTTCTGTTAGCCTGAAGTGTATAAAAGTAGGAGAAGGAACTGGAAAACAAGGAAAGAATTCGCCCACCCAGTTTTTTAAGTTTTCTGTACCATTTTTGTACAGAAACTGGAATCTTTGTCAACACTAATAATTTTCTGAAAAAAACCCCCAAAATAATTATAACTATTATTTAAAATGCAGATGGGGAGAATAACATCAAATTTTAAGCTGTAGTTGTTTTTATGAGATTTTATGAGATTTTCACCACGTGAAGTGAGGTTCTGTAGCACAAACACATTCCCCATCTTCTTCTGTATGTCTACTTTACTCGTTTGCTCTATAAATCCTTTTTCTCCTCAAAAAATCATGGAATTGTTCACTTGAAATATCTTTCATTTCTTTAATTTGCTAATTGAACAAGTCTATCATTAGTTGTTATTGAAACACTGGCACTCTTACACTGAGTAAATCCATAATTTCCTACTTTTGTAGTTGAAAATTATGAGTAATTCCTGCCTCAGTAATTAGCAGCACTCTGAAGACCATGGACACAGCACTGTAAGAAATTAAGATCCCATCCTTCTCATGGTGTGTAAAATAATGCTGCCTCTGTTCCCTAATCAATATAATTTTTTTTTTAAAAAAGCACTGAAAACTGTATATGAGTATTTCATACATACTTGACTCTTATTCCTTCCCTCCTTCCCTGCCAGTGTGCCTAGTGAGCTCAGAATGCTTCACCTTTCTTCCTTTGCATTTTCCACTTGCAGATTTCATTTATACACACATCAATAGATGACAGCAAAACATACATGCATCATAAAACAGTTTAAGAAAGCATCTAGTAAACCCTAGTGGCTTGAAACAATACAGTGCCTTCCTTATTCATCTCTAAAAATCATTGTTAAGCTTCTGGCTAAAAGCAGCTTGTTTTCTCCCCTGTTAGCTAGTGACTCCTGCTAAGCAGAATTCAGCTGCTCTGAAGAGATTATGCTGCAGCAGCTTGCCACTGGAGTGTAGAGCCTGCAAAAGTTCAGCTAGCTGGATGCTTCAGTTCAACGTTTGCTTCAGTCTTCCTTTTTACCAGAATGAGTACAGAGTATATTGAACATTTTCCCTCAATGGTCAGAAATTCATCTCCATTCACATACCATTTCCATGTAATACTGAATCAACACCCCCAGCTTAGTCAGAATATGTTTACAAACATCACATACGCAGCACAGTACCGTCAGGTACTACACACTCCAGGGCATTTATTTTTGGCTAACTATTGTCCTCAGACATGTCCTTTCCCCATTTAGCATATAGGTAATAAAAGTGCTTTGTTTAAGTGATTGGAGTTGTGTCTCACTTGTGTAATGCAAAGTACAATTCATTACTCCTCATCTGGTGAATCACTTTTTAGGTAGCATCAATCTACACACAAACTTTGAAATGCAACAGAAGGACAATGAATAGGCAAAAAGGAGGGATGGGTCAAAATTTTCCTTCAGAAAAAAAGGAAATGCTTAAAGGTCATAGCCATCAACTTACATATGATCCTTAATACTTCTAGGGAGATATGCTTCTATGGATAATGCTATAAAACGCGACAAAAAATATCAGCAGCTTCAAAAAACACCAATGCCTTCAGAACCCAAACATGATAAAAAGACTTTTCTGAAGGTTGAACTAAAATCATTCAACAAATCTTGCCTATGGAAAAAACGTTGCCAATTATGCATCTGAAAATCTCTATGGAATCCATAACTTTGAAGCAGAAACTTGAAGTTACCAAGGAAGAAGGAAAAGGGTGGTTTAAAGTCCAGCTGGATAAATACTGTTACCATCACCGTTTAACAACTTCATTAATGGTCTGGATGATGGGACCAAGTGCACTCTCAGCAAACTCACAGAGAGTACAAAAACGGGAGGAGAGGTTGATACACCAGAGGGTTGTGCTGCCACCCAGAGTGGCCTTGAGAGGCTTGAGAAGTAAACAGACAGGAACCACATGCTGTCCAACAAGTGCCGAGCCCTGCACCCGGGCAAGAAAAACCTAGGTACCAGCACAGGCTGGGGGTCAACCAGCTGGAAAGCAGCTTTCTGGAAAATGTCCTAGGGGTCCTGGTGGACATCAAGCTGAACATGAGCCAGCAATATGCCAACACAGCAACAAAGGCTAATGGTATCCTGGGCTGCATTAGGAGTAGTGATGCCAGCAGGCCAAGGGAGGTGATCCTGCCCTCCTACACAGCACTGGTGAGGCCACACCTGGAGTCTGTGTCCAGTTCTGGTCTCCCCAGTACAAGAGAGACATGGACATACTGGAGAGAGTTTAGTGAAGGGCCACAAAGATGATCAAGGGACTGGAGCATCTCTCCTGTGAGGAAAGGCTGAGAAAGCTGGCACTGTTTAGCCAGGAGAAGAGGAGGATTATGGTGATCTTACTAGTGTGTATAAATAACTCAAGGGATGGCGCAAAGAAGATGAAGCCACGTTCTTTTCAGTGGTGCTCATTGATAGGTCCAGAGGCAATAGGCACTCACTGAAATAGAGCATATGACATTTAAACATAGGAAAAAATGTTATTGTGTTTGAACAGTGGAACAGGTTGTTCAGAGAGGTTGTGGAGTGTCCATCCTTGGAGATATTAAAATCCT